GGGCCCTGGGGTGACTCATTTTCTTTGTGAGTTCAAATCTGGCCCCAGACACTTACTAGCAGTGTGAACCTGGCCAAGTCACCTGTTTGTCTCAGTTTCCTCATCTGTCAAATGAGCTGGAGAAGGAAATGGCAAACCACTCCACTATCTTTGCCAAGAAAACCCCAGATAGGTCAAACACAACTGACCAACAACCTGAGTTTCGCCTAACAAATAACAAAATAAGATACATACAAAAATATCAGGAATGGAAAATATACACTTTCTGGACAGTATGGTATGAAGTTACTCAAAAAGGCTAAGTGAGGTCCATTGGATCAGACAAGAAACTTTCCTCTGCTCCTTTTTCAATGATATCAAATTTGCAACCTTTTTCTAAAAACTTTAAGTCAGAACTTTAAGCAACTTGATATTTCAGGTTATGGATTCAGGACCTAGGAGTATTTCCTCATTGTAGTTCTTGAGTGATGATTTAAATTGCACACTCTTTCTCTACCCAGAGGACTAAAGTCAGGCCTACAGTAGTCTGTTGACACCTACCAAGTACCAAAATACACAAATACTATTTATTGACAAATTTCCTATCATACTAAAACTTAGAATGACTTTGGTGGCCTTTCTTCACCATCACTTATGATCTTCATCAATGTCCATTTCTCACACATATTTATAGCCACAAGAATCATGAGATTTTATCACAAAATTTTACTTCTTAAAGAATTGCCACCATTCTGCCAGGTATCATTTTCTTACATTATTTCTGTTTTCTGGAACACTTTTGCTACATAGCTTTAATTTCAAATCCTCTCGTCATTGTTTGTAACTTAGGGTGAGGGAAAGATAGTTACAGAGAAAAAAATTCACATTAACTTCTGTTGAACTGAAGGTCATAAAAAGTCTTACTCAAAAATGTCTTCATTTCAATTTTGAAAAAGCAGTTTCGTAAGATATGTGTATTTCCAGGCTTTATATAATAGCCCATGCTTGAAAAGACTAATGTTGGTTGGTAACCATTGTCAAAGATTCAAACTGAATTTATTTTAACTCTGTGTCAAGTAAGGTTATGTTTGAAGTCACACAAAAAAAGTGGAAAATGTTCAGTATTCCTGTCTAATTGTGAACAGTGACAGAATGCCAAATACTCAAGCAGACACATGTACCATTATTCCATATGGAATACCTGTATACATGTAGCCCTCTGTTTTGTTTTCATAGTAACAAAAAGGTTTGCAAACAAATCTCAAATAAAGAGAGTTTTATCAATCAAAAAATTCTTCAGGCTAATCTTTCACTGTAACTATACAATATGACTTGATTAATTGATAATTTATACTAAATCTTTCACATTTCAAATCTAACAAATACATACAAAATACTATCCCTACTTTAGTGCTATATCAAAGATCTCCAGGAAATCCTAACAAGTCAAAATTAGTGATGTTTTAAATTTTCTATCTCTATCAATCCTATTGTTTAGATAACTGTCTCCAATTCTAATAAAAATCCTTAAAATAAGAGAAATATTCAATATAACAATAGTATTAAATTAGGCCAGCAACTTGAAATCTGAACAAGTATGTTAACAGAAATATAACAACAACTTTTTAATTTTCAGTGTTTCATGGCTGACCTAAATTCAAGGACAAGGGAACTCTATTGACTGGTATATCTTTTCAGAAGATTCAATATTGTAACATTGATTTTTACTGCATATCACAAATATACTGCACATTTCTAACCTAGTGGTCAAAAAAGATTATGGCACTTGTAAAAAAACCATTAAGTTGATGTGAATGCATTCTTATATTTCCCACTATAAAAATATGAATTCATCTTCTATCAAATGCTCTAGTATCAGAATTAAAACTCTTCATAGTAACTATACACTGCATGATTTTTTTGCAGTTAACAATGAAAAGGCAATATGTTTTTTATATATGTTGTTTTTGATAAACCATTTTGTTTACATCCTAAATATTCCCCAAGACAAATATTTTTTGGCCTTTATTTGGTTAAAATAATGTTGTTACAACACTATATCAGTGCAAAAAAAGTAACTTTTATTAGAGGCATATAAGCAAATTTAAATATTCAAAAGGATTTGGTTTTCTAAAGGAAAAAGAAACTAAATAGTATTGAAGGAAATGTTTCTAATAAAGTTAAATGGATTTTTCTGGGAGACTGGATAATTGAAAATGTAATTAATATGGATCTTATTAATATTTCAAGTAATTTCTGGGCTTGATTATACAGTACAAAGAAACAACTGTACTGAAGAGAAAAATCAATAATCCCTGACTATTGTTTTTCAGCATGTTGGGGGGGGTGTAGGAAGAATTATCTGGCAAATTATTGGGAGTCTACACTTTCCCCACTAAAAGAAAAATATTAACATTTGAAAGTAAAACTGAGTTATTTTTATAATGACAGAAAAGGAAGGGAAAAATCTGTTCAAATGTCTATTACAATAAAGGTCCTGTAAACAAGCCCTTTTATGCTTGTCTTAGGCCTAAATAATACGCAAAGAGATAGATAAGGTTTTTGCCTGTCGATTGTGCACATATAGATATCTGTGTGCATTCTGAGGCATTACAGGTGTCCTAACGAGTCCAAATGAAACTGATTTTAGCAGTTTCCTTTGGCTCTGCCCCTCATAAATCTGTTCTACGAATTCCCACTACCTGTTTCCCTTCATGAGAAAGTGCCTGCAACAGGGACCTTATCTCTATTCGGCAGCCCCAGTGTTAAAAGCATAAGAGACTTGAAAGTATTCCCCATCCTCCAGCCCTATTTTCCTCAACCTCTTAGTCCCAATGCCCGCCCATTAGGGAGAGGGCAGGCTTCTGCAGTCCCTCTAGTTAGCTGCTTTCAAGTCTAGGCATAGCGTCGGGAACCACTTGAAGAATTCTCTTTCCCCTCCTCCTTCTCAGGGGGCTAAGTCCTTGAAGGAGAACACCAACTGACAGCTTCTGACCTTTTCTCCCTCCATATAATTCAGTCTAGGTCTGTTGGGATAGCATTTTCTCATGTCATCTGCTTCACTCGATATGTGTTATATAATAAGAGAGCGCGAGAGAGACAGAGACAGGCAGATCGAGAGAGGAGAAAGACAGGGACAGACAGGCAGATCCATATAAAATGCAGATATCTGCGATAACAGCTAGGGTTTAAAAGCTGATCTGGACTCTTCCTCCATTAAACACCATAAACAGCACACACATACCCAAACCGAAGGAACAATGTTTTTTCTGTGTTTTGCCCCCACCTACACCAGACCTACAAGAAGGAAAGAGAGGAGGGGGAAGGGAGCCTAGGAGCAGCAGCCCGAGCAGCGGCGGGGGCAACCGCGGCGGCGGCGGCGGCGGCGGCGGCGGCGGCAGCAGCAGCAGCAACAGCAACATCTGCTTTGATAAGCAGCAGCCGAAGCTGCCGCGGCGGCCGAGAGCCCCTCGTTAACCCCCTTCCTGTGGCTGCAACACGTCATGGAACATTCCCGGAACGGGCCAACGTTCCACCCACTTCAGGGAACAGACATAAAGGCGCAGACACAGATCCCCACAGTGCACAAGCACAAACACACATGTCCTCCTATCCCCGGTCAGAAACACACACATAAACACATATGCAAACCGCCCCCATCCTTCTCCACGCGCCCCCGTCTATGCCCTCCCCACCCCCATACTAAACCAACACTGCAGCTAGTACACCGGGAAAGGGAAAATGCTCTGCCTGAACCTTCCATCAAGTCAGCCCCCTCCTTCCTTCCTCCCTTCCTTCCTTCCTTCATTCTTTCCTTCCTTGGGAGGAGAAAGAAGTCACAGAAATTCCACTACCAAAAAAAAAAAAAAGAGACGAAAACAAACACTACAACACCAACACCTTTTTCTGTCTCTCCATCACACCCCCAAGAGGATCTCATCCTCCTCTGTCTCCCTTCCCCCCCTCCCATATCCCCAATCTCGACTGCTACCTTGCAACGGGGACAGGCAGCAGCAGCAGCAGCAGTAGCCGTGTGTGCGCTGTGCATGTCTCTCATTAGTAACCATGCACATTCCTCCCTCCACCTCTCCCGAGTCGTCCCCCCCCCTTCCGAGAGGACATTACGCAAACCAGCCTCCCCCTAATCTGCATAGATTTACAGCCAGGGTATTCCCCACATTTCCTAACGCGCCAGAGACCTTCCCCCTAGGTTCCCCCTCCCCTTAGTCTATACACACACACACACACACACACACACACACACACACACATATCCTCACCCCAAAGAAACCTCAGCAAGAGGGGAGAGATGGGGGGGCAGAGAATATCTCTACCCTAAAGTAAAATATACTAATCATAGAAATAAAAAAGGAAAAACGCATCTCTGAGGAGGTGACTTACCTATCAGATGACTAGCCTACAGTCCCCGTTTCTTTCCCAAATGATGGATATACCCTCAATGTACCCCGAGGCAGCACCCAACAACCCAAAGTATATGGATTTTTGAAAGAGAGGAAAAGACCTTGTAAGTTGCTCCAGTGCAGCCCGTAGCTTCAACGTCCAAGACACAACTTGGCAAATACTTGTGCCACAGTCAGGAAAGATTTTTTTTTTAAAGACCCTCCTCTTCTTAAGAAAGACAGCACTCCCCCCGGCGTCCCCCTTTCCTCTCCACTCCCACACCTCCCGCCTGCCCGCCTCCCCGCCTCTCTTCCGCAAGCCCCTCCGGCGGCTGTCAGCTCCTGGCCGGCTCCGAGTGACAGGGGCAGGAGAAGGGGGATACCTTGACAGGGGAGCGAGGAAGGGGGATCCTTGCAGCAGCTGCTGCTGCTGCTCACCTGGAAAGTCACCGTGGAGGAGGAAGAGAAGGAGGAGGAGGAGGAAGAGGAGGAGGAAAAACCCCCTGGTGCCCTTGTTCTTTCTGCTGCTGTGGTTGCTCCTTGCTAAGCTTGTGCGTGTTGGGGGGTGTCTGGTAGCATTTCCTTAAGGACAGAGGGAGGGAGGAAAGAGATCCCGACAGCCAAGGCTCCTCTTTCCTTTATTTATTTTCTTATACTGTACACAGAGCGACAGACTTAAGGTGAAGCTGGGCTTGAGAGGGAGAAGAGAGGCCAGAGCCGCAGTTTTCTGGATGAGGGAGCAGCAGCCTTTCTGATCTGTAGTCAGACAGGGTTATTCCTGGCACCACTTCCCAGAACAGAAGTTACAAGAAGTGAGAGAGGGAGAGAGAGGGGGGGGGGAGAGAGGAAAGCTCGGCCAGCGACGTCATCGGATCCCCCAGCGCGTCCCAGGGTGAGAGGCTGAACCAGAAAAACCAGTCTGGAGAATGAGAAAAAGAGAGGGAAATGCACTATGTACAGAGCAGACGGGAGGGGGAGGGAAGAGGGAACAGAGGGGGCAGGGCTTTAGAGCCCAAAGCTGCAGCCTCTCCCAACAGCAAGGAGATCTCTTGCTTGCCCGCTCTCCAAACAGGGAACTCCCAGGAGAGCCAGTCTCTACTTGCCATGCAAAATTTGTGAGTCTCTTCTCAACTAGAGAATTTCCTTTAAGGATGTGGAATACTCCTCCTTTCAATAACCCCATCCCTCCATCCTCTCTCTCTCCCCCCCCATTATAACCATGGGATCTCTGTCTCTCTCTTCCTGCCTTTTTTCTCTCTTCCCTCGGGGTCCCTTCTCTTCCCTCCTTCGACTGCCTTTGTCCCCATGCCTACTGTTCAGTTATCCCCTAGGAAAAATAAAATAATACTGCAAGTTTTGGTTACGTTTCTGAGGGCACTTTAACCTGTTTTCTTGCAGTTTCCATGTCCCCATAGAGACATGTGTACATATATGTATGTGTGTACATGTATAGTACATAGTATATATGTTTGTATAAACTTTCTGTGCACTCCACGCTGTACGTGTGTACATTTATACATATGTGTGTATAAACTTTCTATGCACTCAACGCTGTCACTTCTGTGTATGTTAGCCCTGTTCCCTAATATTTAAATAGGGTAAATGCTGTCTTCCTTACCACACACTCCCAGAAACCCAGGCCATTTTCAATACTATGCTTCCAAGTTGCTTTGGGGGAGATGTCAAAGAGAGAGCAAGGTTATTTCCCTGTTGGTAGGACAGCTAACTCAACACCAAGCATCTAACCTTAGAAAAAAGGAAGCAAACCTCTTCCTCCACTATGGTCACTTTTCTTCCTCCCCCCGCTCCGCCCCCCACCCTAACCCCTCCCAGCATATTTGGGTGCCACCCTCAAAAAAAAAAACTAAAGGAATGAAATTAAACCGCAGGCTGGGAGAGTGGGACTGCAGGGCGGGGGAATCCCAGGCGACCGAGTCGGAGTTTTTGGCTTCCTCCCCGGTCGGGTGATAGAGGGAGGACACCAGGGCTTCTCGCGGCAGTTAACCTGCATTTTGTGTACTCATATGCACCCTTGGAGGGGTTTCAAGAGGAGGCCGCGGCCAGGAGCCCGGGAGCCGGCACAGATGGCGGCCCAGGCTGGGCTCTCAGAGGGCGCGCGGACTCTCAGGGTGGTCTCCGCCCCATTGAGTCCCCTGGGGAGCCGGCTCGGCCGCGGGCGCAGCCACTCAGGAGGCGCAGCGCTGCCGGGCGCGGCGGCCCCGGGGGCTGGCGTAGCCCTCCCCCACACCAGTCGGCTCGGGGCGGGCGGAGTAAACAAGAGACGTAGATGATTTGACCTGGCGTGACCCGGCTTTCTGGCTGGGGTTTCCCTGAGCAGGTGACTCCGGGGGAGGGGTGGAAATTAGTCTCTGGAATTTCAGGCCAAAGAAATTAACTTCGGGTTCGGCTTTGAAGGCAGGTATTTTGCTAACACCTGCGGTACTTCTTGTGTTTCTACTCCTGGAATTCGTAGAGGAAAAAAATGGCAATAATAACATTTAAAATGCATATCATTAGAAATAAGAAACTAAAGGGAAAGGACAGCCCCTTTGGTTCTTATCTGCCGCGCAATTGCAATTTATTTCTTTTTCATTTTCTAATTGGGTTACTTTTGGAGCCGTCCAAAACTCAGGCGTGTTGTTGCGGTTAGAGTGACTCAGTATATAGGCTCACAGATGCAAAGCTAAAAGGTTTATTAGAAACGAATGCTAGGGCTCTAGATTTACAGCTCGAGCAGACCCTAGAAGTCATCTAGTCTAACCCGTTCTCTTAGGTTACAGGTGAGGAAGCTGAAACATGCTCGAGGTCGCACCTGGTAGCAAATGCCAGACTTAGGCTTTGAACCCATTTCCTCTGACTGCAGATCAGTCACTTTGGCCGTTATACCAGCTTATTTCTTTACCTTCCCCCCCTTCTAAATACAAAAGTGCTTACTTTTTGTACTTGAATAATGGAAAGTCTATCTAATTGGAATAAGTTCCAGGATGCCCTTCCTTCCTAGTGACAGCTCTTCCTTTCATTAAGAAATGCTTTTCTGAATGGCTACTCTTTGACCTCCTTACTATGTATTCTTAAGGACACTTAACATCCCTACTCATCACTATTCCTCAAGTTTGTACCCCTGTATTTTAAAAAATATTTATTATTCAAAATATTAGACAATTTTCAAAAGTATTTAAAACTCAAAAATGTGCCTGAATACTCTAGGATTGCTTTTATTTAACTGCTTAATTGGAGAATTAAAAATTGTATTAGAATACAGGAATACAGCAGAAAGAGCTCTGAAGAGGCAGCACTAACTTAATACAGGTTTAGGAAGCTGTTAGGTTCAAACCCAACCTAGGAAAAGTTATTAATTTCCCTGGGTCTCAGTTTCCTCTTCTATAAAATTAAGTTAGGTTAGATGGCTGCGAAGTCCTTTCCAGCTCTAGATCTATGATCTTTAAAAATCTGATTTTGCTCCAGCCCACATGTATATCCACACATCAGGTAATAGAACAGCAGCTGCTCCAGCTCTTAGAACCAAGGAAGCCTAGAATAAAGCATTGTGCTTGTTAGCAGGTGCAAAATACTCTTTTGAACCTTTTCATTACAAATAGAAAAGCAGATTTCACTCAAGGAGCTCACATTCTAACATGTAGAGATAACATATGTAGAAGGTTTTAGCTGAAAGTCACATAAAAAAAAAAGCCCAGAGGTAAAACAGCAAAGTAAATAGTGATAATAGCTAGCATTTATATAGCACTTTGTTTTACAAATAGCTTTACACTTATCTTATTTGATCTTGTAAGGTAGGTGCTATTATCCATTTTACAGATGAGGAAACAGAGGCTGAGAGAAGTTAAGTAACTTGTTCAAGGTAATCTAGTAAGTGTCTAAGGTCTTCCTGACTCCAAGTCAAGCTCTTTATCCACTATGCCACTTTTAAGAAGATGCCTGAGCATCTTCTTGAATTTCCATTTCCATTGATGAAATTATATCCATTTCTGATGTTGAATCATTTGTCAGTGTCAAGTACTGAGAAGACTGAGAATTGCAGCACAGTACCTAACAAGGCTGTTGAAAAGTCACATAGCCACAAGAGTTGTTTTCTTAAACTATGGCCACATAGGACCAGAGCAGAAGCAGGACCTGTCCACTCTCAGCGACAAGTCTCATCTAGGAGCGTCCTGTCCTCAGGGTCCTAGGGGATATCTCTGATAAATCAGGGGTGATTCTCTAATTAACTCAAGCTCTCACTGGTTTGCTTCAGAGATTATACATTGAGAATAATTTTGGTCAAGCAACTTAAAGTAGCTTTAAAAGGGGAGAGACAGGGGGATTTACTAAGATAATATAGTGAGAAAAGTTGGCAGAAAATACCCCCAAACCCAAAGCTTGTGACACATTTTCCAACTAGTACATACAGAGCCTAGGGAAGTTGGGCCTAATTAGAAAGCACTTGTGGCAAATGCGACTTAGCTCCTAGTTGCTAGAAGTCCTTTCCCATTCATGAAGAACACAAGAATTTCCCATTAGGGCTCCTTTTGTAACCATCAATATCCAGTGTGCTCTTGACTCCCAATGCAGACTCTGCAATCACTTTATCTAGAGAAGCAGCACTTCTGGGAAGGTAGAAAGTCAACATCCTTCAGACCCTTTGAAGTTTACAAGGTCTTTCTCCCACCACCGGAAAATTGATTGATCGATTAAGCATCTTATCACTTACTTTGAGTGGGGTGAGGTGAATTAATTGACTCAATCACTTTGCCTTTGCATAGATAGATAGATAGATAGATAGATAGATAGATAGATAGATAGATAGATAGGTAAAACCTTGGGCTTATAGTGCCTAAATAACTTGCTCAGGTCACAGAGGGAATAAGGAGCAAATGGAAGTTTAGAGCACATGCTCTGACTCCAAATCTGATTCTCTTCCCACTACACTAAACTTGCTAGTCTTTGTAAAATAGTAGATAATATAGGACAACAATGTTTTCCCATTGATCAAAAAAGGGAGGAGAATGGATTTCATAAACTAGCAGTCAATGAAATTCACTACAATTCCTGCAAAAATGTTCAAAATGTTTTATTTAAGAGAAGTTATCATTAAGAACCTACATAGATCTGTCAAAAACAAGTTATGGTAGCTCAGAAGAAAAACAGAATAGACAGAGTCTACTTGGATTTTACAAAGTCTTTTCTTGAATAAGATCAAGAGATAAAAATTAGAAGGCTTGGAACAGGTTAAGTCAGTCAGTCAATAAGCATTTATTCAGCCCTTATTTATTTCCCAGGCACTGTGCTAAGTTCTGAGGATACAAAAGCAATACCAGCCTTCAAAGGGCTCACTTATGAAGGAGACAACATGTAAATAAACTGGGACATGCAAAATATACACTGAGTAGAGGGAAGGTAATCTCAGAAGAGAAAGCTTAAGAGACTAGGAAAAGCCTCTGTCCTCCAAAAGGTGGGATTTGAGCTGAGTCTCAAAGGAAATCAGAGAAACTGAGGGGCAGAGGTAAGAAGGAAGAGTTCTAGGCATGGAGGACAGCGAATGAAAAGTCAGAGAGATAGAAGATGGAGTGTCAAGTATGAGGAACAGCAAATACGCCAGTTTGGCTGGATCAAAGAGTTCATGGAAGGGAATAATGAGTAAGAAGATCAGAAACATTGGATGGGGCCACCTTTAAAGAGCTTTTTATGGCAGAGGACTATATATTTGGTCCTGGAGTTGATAGAAATACTGTAGTTTGTTGACTGTTGGTGGAGGAGGAATTAGAAGGGAGGGTGACGTAGTCAGATTTGAGCTTTAGGGAAATAACTTTGGTAACTAAAAGGAAAGACTTGAATCAAGGAGACCAACTAGAAGTCCAATCCTAGTAATGAGGGCCTAAACTGGGTGGGTAGCTATGTGAGTGGAGAAAAATGGAAGTATAGGAGAGAGCTTTTGTGAAGGTAGAAATGACAAGATTTGGCAATAGATTGGATATGTGAGGTGAGCTTGAAGAGTCAAAGATGACATCAGTGTTTTGAGCCTTGCTATCTAGATAACAGGAGGGCCCTTGACAATAAAAAGAAAATTCAGAAGGAGGGAAGGTTTGGGTGGGAAAATGTGAGCTCTGTTTTGGACATGTTGAGTTTGAGATTCCTATGGGACATCCAGATTGAGATGTCCAAGAAGCAGTTGGTGATGTAGAACTAGAGTTCAGGACAGAAATTAGTGCTGGGTATATACAACTGGGAATCATCTAGATAGATATGATGATTGAATTGATGAGAGCTGATGAAATTACCAAGTGCAATTAAGTATTAGGACCATAATAATTATAATAATAATTTATTAGTATACCTTCTAACAATAATAATGGTTATTATTATTGTTATTATTATATCTTTTAATGATAATTCATTATTCTCATTATAAGGAAAGTAGGCTCAGAAGAGATCCTTGAAAGATAGCAGTGGTTGGTATGATGTGTGACACAGATGAAGATCCAATAAAGAATACTGAGGAGGAGCAATCAGACAGGGGTGAGGATATCCAGGAGAGAGTAATGCCAGAAAAACCCAGAGAGGAGAGATTAGGAGTCTAGAAGAACAGAATCTAGGAGAATAGGAAGTAAAGGAGAAGGAGATTAATGGTGTCATATGTTTCAGAGCAGTCTAGAAAGATGAGGGCAGAAAGAAGACCATAAGGTGTGGCTATTAAGAGATTGTTGTTAACTTTGGAGAAAGCAGTTTCTGTTGAA